CAGCCATGATAGTGATGAGGAGACCAAAGAAAGCCTCCAACTTGCGCAGGCCGTACTTGTCCAGGAAGAGGAAAGTGAAGGTGTCAATTAGTGTGATGAGAGTTCCTGCCCACAGCGGCAACCTGTTCAACACACCAACTTCTTCAGAAGGATTAGCAAAACACAAATTTCTTCAACAGGGATTAGCAACACACCAACTTCTTCAACAGGGATTGGCAACACACCAACTTCTTCAACAGGGATTGGCAACACACCAACTTCTTCAACAGGGATTAGCAACACACCAACTTCTTCAACAGGGATTAGCAACACACCAACTTCTTCAACAGGGATTGGCAACACACCAACTTCTTCAACAGGGATTAGCAACACACCAACTTCTTCAACAGGGATTAGCAACACACCAACTTCTTCAACAGGGATTGGCAACACACCAACTTTTTCAACAGGGATTAGCAACACACCAACTTCTTCAACAGGGATTGGCAACACACCAACTTCTTCAACAGGGATTAGCAACACACCAACTTCTTCAACAGGGATTGGCAACACACCAACTTCTTCAACAGGGATTGGCAACACACCAACTTCTTCAACAGGGATTAGCAACACACCAACTTCTTCAACAGGGATTAGCAACACACCAACTTCTTCAACAGGGATTAGCAACACACCAACTTCTTCAACAGGGATTAGCAAAACACCAACTTCTTCAACAGGGATTAGCAAAACATTAATTTCTTCAACAGAGATAAGCAGCACACCAACTTCTTCAACGGGGATTAGCGAAACATTAATTTCTTCAACAGGGATTATCAAAACATTAATTTCTTCAACAGGGATTAGCAACACACACCAACTTCTTCAACAGAGATAAGCTAACTTTTCGGTGTTAGAAGAGTTATTCTTTGTTCCCATCATGAGAAACTGGTTGAGTTAAACTTGGTGTGGACTATCATTGTGGGATATTGAACTAAATTGTGAAGTAGAAACAAATATAAACCAAAGAAAGTTGTTATAACTGTGGCAAGTAAGTTGAAGGATGGTCTATCAATGAAGAAAATTTGAACCAAGATGTGAACAAGAGAAAAATATAAAACCAAAGAAGACAGGTATAAACAATTCACACAAGTGTTGAAATGTATTTGATGTCATACCCAAATAGCAGCTGTATGGCAATGGCTGTGCCTATGACTTCCTGTATGTCAGAGCCAATGATAGCGATCTCAATCATGATCCAGAGCAGGAGCCGGGGCACAGTGGGGAAGTAGCGCTGGCAGAGCTCAGCCAGGTGAAGGCCCGTCACCACGCCCAGCCGCGCAGAGAGCCTCTGCATGAGCAGGCCCAGTACTGTGGCCCATAGAGTCACCCACAGCAGCTGGGCACCCATCAATGACATTGAGGTAACAGAACTCTGATAAGGCACAATTTGGATTATAGGTTAGAAGCACACAAGGTCTTCTTCTTTCTTATTTCCACTCAATCATATTGAGGTATCAAGCTTATAGAGTTTGACACTTTTGATGGTGTCTGATGGGGATGAGTAGAGCTCATCAATGGATGAGTCAATACAGTCAATAATGTGTTTTAGGGTTGCAGGTTGAGAATTGCACTTAATACATAGTGGGAAAACCTTGCAACCATTCTGGAAAGTCATTGTCTGTAGATGACCAGACATAAGTACACAGAAGGTAATAAGGCCAAATCCAAATAAATGATATGTTATGTTTCAGTAGCAGCATTGTTACCATCAGACAAAAGTACAGAATAAGAAAAAATAAGGCATATTTTTATGTTTAAATAATTTAAAAACATGTGCTGTGATATTTTTCTTCATTCAGTACTTTTGTCTGATGATGGTAACAACACTGTTGCCGAAACGTCACAAAATATTTATTAATTAGAATTTGGTCTTATTGCCTTGTGAGAACTAACTCTGTTTATTGTAGGTATATTATAGTATTTTCAGCTCCTAGCAAAAACACATTTAACACTGTAGAGTGATAAAGCACAATTTGGATTATAGATTGTAGCTACAAGAAAACATGACTTAATCCAATTTGGATTAGGTCTTAGTTTCTTGTAGCTATAATCTATAATCCAAAGTGTGCTTTTATCATTTTTGATAGACTTCAATGGACCTAAGAAGTTATTCTCTCTAAGAGCTGAAGAAAATGAATTCCAAAGTGAATATTAATTTTTATTTATTTTATTTATTTATTACAAAACACACGGTATATCCTATGTGGGTATTTGCATGTAAATGTTTAATCTATTTTATATACATAGTTTTTAAATATATATACAAATTATTTATAGCTACAAGAGTTCAGGATCTGAAGTTCTCCTCTATTTCAAGAAGTAGAGAAAACATATTGGATTAGGTCTTGTAGCTTTAACTCTGTAGAAGTTATTTTCTTGTTCTTAAAAGTAGAGACTTACCCGATTCCCAACCTGGACTCCAGTTTGGAGATCAGACTCAATGTTGCCTGGGTCCAAGTACGCGATGCTCATGAGGAAACCCGGACCAGTGTAGGCCCACAGCTTGCGGAAGCTGAATGAATACTGCCACATCACACACAGGTTGTTATTTCTTGGGACTATAAAGATTTAGCAACCAAATTACCATTTTAGAAATTAGGTTAAATTTTGAAAGGCTTTCAACTTAACTCTGAAAAACCATAAGAAAATAAGACCTAATCCAAATAAATTAATAGTGTGACATTTCGGTAAAAATGCTGTTAACAAAACCTCACACACAATTTATTTGGATTAGATCTTATTTTCTTGTAGCTATAATCTATAATACAAATTTTGCTTTATCATCTGAAAAACCACATTTAGGGGTATTAATGAATATAATTTTAAAAATTGAAAGTTACAAACATCTTGTTGTGTGCTAAAACTGGAGTAATATACAAAATGTGTTTATGGCAGGGTATGTTTAACATGAATTACTAAAGTTTGTATGTGTGTGGATGTTGTGGGAGTAAAACAACACTCACGTTCTCAGCATCAGGCACCGGGACTCTCTCAGTGAAGTAGGTGTCCAGGCTGTTGGAATGCAGGAGTCCTGTATCCTCCTCCAAGGTGGATAGGGACTTAGCCGGGACATCCCCTGCCTTCTTGTCTCCCACTGGACACAAGACTCCACAGTTAAATACTTTCAATTGATTTAAATCTCCTGGATATCACAGTAGAACTACCTGTAAAGGACAACACCTAATTGCAGAGCCAAAGTGTCCTTTAGAGAGAGGTATCCTCTTACTGGAGAGTTGCAAAATAGTAAAAATGGTAATTTTTCAAACGAAAACTGTCTTTTGTAGTGAGGTGTCCTCTAGCGCGAGTGTCCTCTCATTTTATGTATTCCTTTAGAAGGGCAGAAATGCCCAAAAGCTCGAGATTACGTTAATAAAGATAAACCTTTATCATTATTTAATTACAGTAGAACCTCCAAGAGAGGACACTCATGCTAGAGGACACCTCTCTATAAAGGACAGTTTTCATTTACAAAATTATCATTTTTACTATTTAGCAACTCTCCGGTAAGAGGACAGACACCTCTCTCTAAAGGACACTTTGGCTCTGCAACTAAGTGTCCTTTAGAGAGAGGTGTCCTCTTACCGGAGAGTTGCTAAATAGTAAAAATAATAATTTTGTAAATGAAAACTAGGTGTCCTTTACACAGGGAGGCTCTACTGTACTTTCAATTTATTTAAATCTCCTGAAGAAGGGTAGAAATGCCTGAAAGCTTGTTATTATGTTAATAAAGATAAAAATAAACTCCAGAAACCTTTAGCATTATTTAATCAGTTAACTACTTTACTTGTGTATCAACATGTAGAGAGAGGGTATGTTATATGTTTTAAATATATTGTCCATGAAAATAATTAATTAAATAATAAATTATCACTGATTAAAGGAAAATTAATCTGCTTGTGAATTAGTTCCACTGCAGTTTCATGTATACCTTGTCAATTATTATTATTGTAAATGAATTTGATCTTATCTGTACAACCAGTGTTATCTTATTTATATAAATAAACATTTTGTTTTTCTTAATTAAATGACTCCTCATCATCACTACCACAACAATAAAATGTATGGAAAAATGTGAAAAAAAATTGTACAAATGTGATATTGTACTGGGAGATATAGGTGCATAAATTAAGAATGCAAAAAAAGGCATCTCCTTATTGTGCAACTAAAATTTGATGATGGCTTGCGGCATATATTGGAATAATTATCAACTATTTGTTGATTATTCCAGAAGAGAATGCAAGAGATGGCGCAAACCATCAGCAACTTTCAGTTGCACGATAAGGAAATGTCTTTTTTTCCTTTCTTAATATAATGTATATTTAAAATACAAGAAATCCTGAGTTCTAATGGTGAAAGTTACCTTCAGAAATAAATAAATGCTGTTGTTGTTGTTTCTTATCCTCTTGTGTAAAGATTACATGAATTCCATGAATTCATGCTCCTCGAGCTGTAAATAAGCTAAAAATAAATACTAATACCTAAAAGCCTTTTAGATTTACAGCTGCTGAATTTTGAAGACCTTAGTATGGAGCAGGACATTATACAAGGTGAAAGGTGGTCTACCAAGGACATCAGATTTCTGGAGTCTTTTGAGATGTGCTAGAGACTTTTTCTGAAAATACCATGCATCGCTTAGGTCACAAATGATGAGGTGTTCTCATTGGAGAGTAATAGAAAACTGTAACTTCATTAAAATAATGAGAAAGTTGAAATTTAATTGGTAGGCCAGGTGCTAAGACATGATGACCTACGAAAAGATGTATTGAATGATGAATTGAAGGTATCAGTTCAAGAGAATGCATTCGTATTATGTTTGTGGATCAACTGACAAAGGAAACCAAGACAACCAAGTCTTACCACCAGTTGACAACTATGCCTATGGATTGATCAACGTAAAGAAACCTGATTAATATAAAAAGTAAATAAGACCTAATCCAAATAATGTATTAGTGTGTTAAAAACTTCCGTGGGGCTCGAAACCACGACCTTGAGATAAAGAGTTTCATGCTCTATTGACTAAGCTAGCCGGTCATTGACACACTAATAAATTATTTGGATTAGGTCTTATTTTCTTTTTTTATTATAATCTATAATCCAAATTGTGCTTTATCGAAACCTGATTAAGAAGACGTACTAGTACTTGGACTGTTTTCACCTCATATTAATAATAAATCAAAGGTAAGAAATTCATTAGTTTTTTTCTGATGATGGTAATAACACTGTAACCAAAATATTTCATTACAAAGATTTATTTGGATTTGATCTTCTTTTTTGGATTTCTTAGCTATAATCCAAATATTATAACTTCTCACTAATAATAACAAAAAATATAGAATGCTTCACAATTTTGCATGTCATCCTTGCACAAGGGCCATGCTAATCTTCTCTGTATCATTCTAAAGTTAATCCATGTACTGCGGAACAAGTGAGTACGACACTTGTTCAACAGAACATAGGTTAAAATTGTAAATTTAACATGAACCCTGAACAAAGATAATATGCAAAATCATGAAAAGCGTTCTATAAATAATAACACCAATAAAAAAAGAAATAAATAATGATAAAGAACAAAATGACAAAAAGCAGCAACCTACGGGTGACCTGGACCTGGAGGGTATCCATGGGTAACAAACTGCCTGGGGGATGTCACAAATGAAATATATCTTTAGGAAACAAATATCTTCAAGGATTTTCACCTAAAAACAATGGTGTACAGAAGACAAACAGTCCAATCATTACATTTCAAAAGGCCATCACCTATTCACAAGATTGTGCAAGAGATTTGTGCAATTCAGGCTAACCAGGTGTCTTAGAGATTTTCAGAACTGTATAGATATCCTATTTTACATATACATGTATTGTTTTGAAAATAGAGCAATCCATAGATAAATCTTTAATTAAAAAGGCATATTTTGAATCATTTAAATAAAAAGGCATATTTTGGATCATTTAATTAATTTTCAGAACTGTATAGATATCCTATTTTACATATACATTTACATTGACGTTATGTGGCGCTGAGTTTGTTGTTGACACACTTTAAAATGTTATAACACCTTGATAAAGGTTGGCGTTCAGCCAACTGATATATTGGTAAAATAAATGATATTTTGATCCAATATATGCCTTTTTAATTAAAAATATATATACATGCATATGGACAAATATTCTTCAATTTGATCTGTCAGCAACCATCACTCTCATCTAGTGACCCTCCAGTTTCCCTGACCCTTTCTAACCAGTTCTTTGCAGGTCTTCTCTTCCTTCAATGTTTCCCAACATCTTTTCTAATCCATTTTCTCTCATTATATGTCGAGAGTAGGTTAGTATTTGTTTACATATTTGTTTTTTTTTTTTTGCTTATCCCTAGTACACGTGTTACAGGCCATGATAATCAAGGAGGGTAGTTAGCGACTGCTTTTACTGTAAGCGCACCACATGTCTACACATGTGAAAAGCAGTTCGACTTTGCACTTACTAATGTGCCAGAGCCCCGTTTGGTTACTTGCACTCACTGGTGGGGTTGGATTTTTGCAAGAATCGGGGGCCATTGGAGCATTTTTTTTTTTTTAAACAGAAAAAAGTGCCCAATGCGGGATTCGAACCCGGGTCCTAGTGGTCGACAACCAAACGGTTTAACCAGCCTTCCACCGACATATTTGTGATTCTAAGGAATCTACCAGGATGAAAATCATTTAAGGTAATCTATTAGGGTAGAATAAATTAGAAAGAGAGAGAGGAAGCAATGGCATCAATAAGGATAAAGAAATGCTGAGAAGAGCTGAGACAAAGAATGAAAGAGTCCAGGTGTGATATCTGCTATATTTAGAATCCACCATCTGCAGAGAAGTAGACAAAAAGTTAAAGATCAATGACCATTGTCAGGATGGATAAAGAAGTACAAACCAGATTATCACAAAGCAATAACACGCCATCTATATATAAAATGAAAGGATTTAAGAACGAATGTTTTTTTTATACATAAAACAAACATCTACTGTCCTTACTGCGATAAAAAAATATTGGGAGGGTTTTTGGCTCATTAATGGTGAACCCTCCCAGCGGTTTCACCAATTTAATCTACCAGACTTACTTTAATCGCAGTAAAGGACAGTAGAAGTTTGTAATGTGTATGAAGGAAACATTTGTGCTTAAATCCTTTCATTTTATATAAACCAGAATATGGTCGAGCAGTAGAGAGTGATGAACTAATAATACCAATGACCTAACCATGTTCTTACCCTGGAAAAAAAAATCATGTACAGTAGAACCTCCCTAAGAGGACACCTCCCTACAAAAGAGAGTTTTCATCACTAAAATTACCTTTTTATACTATTTAGCAGCTCTCTGATAAGAAGACACCTCTCTGTAAAGGACACTTTGGCTTTGCAACTGAGTGTTGTCCAGTTTACAGGGAGGTTCTACTATGATGGAAGGACAGGCTCTCTTCAATTAAAAAAAGCAATGAGGGTCATGAAGGATGTTATGAAAAATGGACATTTTTATTAATTATCATAAGGTGTATCTTCAGTTGGGATGAAGTTGGGATCACTTTGGCTCTGCAACTAGGTGTCCTTTACACAGGGAGGCTCTACTGTACTTTCAATTTATTTAAATCTCCTGAAGAAGGGTAGAAACGCCCGAAAGCTTGTTATTACATTAATAAAGATAAAAATAAACTCCAGAAACATTTAGCATTATTTAATCAGTTAACTACTTGTGTATCAACATGTAGAGAGAGGGTGTGTTATATGTTTAAAATATATTGTCCATGAAAATAATTAATTAAATAATAAATTATCACTGATTAAAGGAAAATTAATCTGCTTGTGAATTCGATGTATTGCCTACTGGAAGAGTGTGTTATTTTTTTAAAAGTTAATTAATTGAAGCATTAAGAACAGGTGAAAGCCAATTTTAATAATGAGGAGATTTTAAAGATGAGTCCTTATCTTGGATAAGTGTTACCCTTTAATGATTAGCAGGTGTGGAAGGTGAAATAGATTCCAGGATCTTCTAGTTTTTGAGCCATCTGTGATAAACCTGGATAGGTTGGAGAGATATATAGGTGATGTGAGGTTAATTATCCCTAATACACATGATATAGGTCATGATAATCATGGGGAGTTTGTGACTCCTTATACTGTAAGGGTATCACAAGTGCCTATATACAGTATAACCTCTTTAATTTAACCAATTACAATTCAAAACCGACAATAGAAATAGAATTAATAGAAAAATTCTAATCCCTTGGATATTGTGAATTAAAGTTTAAGACATGGGGGTGATATTTATATTTAAGGTAAATAAAGAACAAGATAGAATTGGTGTAATCTTTGCTCAGGGGACTTATCCCAAGGAGGATTTTCACATGGGGTGTTAAGAGCTGGTTAAACCGTTTGGTTTTCGACCACTAGGACCCGGGTTCGATTCCCGCATTGGACACTTTTTTCTGTTTAAAAAAAAAAAATGCTCCAATGGCCCCCGATTCTTGCAAAAGTCCAACCCCACCAGCGAGTGCAAGTAACCAAACGGGGCTCTGGCATTTGTAAGTGCAAAGTCGAACTGCTTTTCACATGTGTAGACATGTGGTGCGCTTACAGTAAAAAGCAGTCGCTAACTACCCACCATGATTATCATGGCCTGTACCACGTGTACTAGGGATAAGCAAAAAAAAAAAAAAGAGTTTTAAGAACTGAACTCCAAAGATGAAAGAAAAAGACTAGATGTGTATCTGAGGAAGAGAGAGAGATATTTTACTTCATTGATGGAGAACCATTGTTACTTTCCATGGTGGGACAATGGTAAATGTCACTCAAGAAATTAATGTTCAACAAGGGATCAAATTGCCCTAATTCCAGGTGAGGGCTGCAAGGTGACATTTGACACCCAACATTTCCATGTAACTAGGATGACACCATTCCTGTTCTGAGGGATGGACAAAAGTTGGAACACACTTTTAGTAATGTACATCATACCTAGCTAGCCGTTTAAATGACATGGAGGCAAATTTTATTAAGGGACAATAAATGATATTTTCCTAACACTTCAGATGGATTTGGTATTTGAAAAAAGTATAATAAGAATAGAGTAAAACTTAGCAACAGGTGAACCTATCTGTAAAGGGCACCTAGTTACAGCTCCAATATATCCTTTAGATAGAGGTGTCTTTTTACTCAAGAGTTGCTTAGTAGTTGAAATAAATTTTGTTATTAAAACTCATTTAAAGAGAGGTGTCCTCTAGCGAAAGAAAGTGGCCTCTTATAGAGGTTCTACAGTATAAACACATCACTTGGGATCAAGATTTTATGCTGTTATAACACCATATATATATACAGTAGAACCTCCCTATAAAAGACATCTAATTTCAGAGCCAAAGTGTCCTTTAGGGAGAGGTGTCCACTTACCGGAGAGTTGCTAAATTGTAAAAATGGTAATTTTGTAAATGAAAACTGCCCTATGTGGAGAGGAGTCCGCTAGCGGGGTGTTTGTTAAAGGGAGGTTTTACTGTATATATATTATTGTTATAACTACAGAGTTAAAACAATTCAATAAAACAATTTATATAATAATAGACCTAAAACTCTGGGCTTTGAATTAGGATGTTTTAACCCAGTTTCTGTTATAAAAGAGGCTGTTATAACTAAAGTTCCGATCTATCATTTCAGTAACAAGTACTTTAGACTAATGGTAGCACAATGGTGTTACTGAAACATCACATGATATGGTACAATTTGTATTAGAGATTATAAACACAAGGTAATAAGACCAAATCGAAATAAATAAATAAATAGTGTGTGACGTTTCGGTAACAGCATTGTTACCATCTTCAGACAAAGTACTGAATGAGAAATTTTACCACAGCATTCAGTACTCTTGAATTCTCATTCAGTACTTTTGTCTGAAGATAGTAACAACGCTGTTACCGAAATGTCACACACTATTTATTTATTTGGATTTGGTCTTATTACCTTGTGTTTATAATCTATAATCCAAATTGTGCCTTATCTATTATAGATTATATAAACACA